AATAAACTCCACTGGCTTCTTGCTACCTCCACAATCAAATATAAAAGTTTCATTTTTAAGTTATTCAAAATCTGGCCTCCTCCTACCTTTCTTATCTTTTTACACTTTATTCTTATCTTTATTCACCCATGATCTTCTGACGCTCACCTCTTTGTTGTTCCTTACGTTGACACTCCATCTCCTAACTCCTGTCCTCTATACCCAGAATTCTCTCCTTCCTTGCAGCCATCTCCTGGGTTCCCTGACTTCCTTCGAGTCTCAGTTAAAAATCTCATCTGCAAAAAGCCTTTACTGTGATTCCCTTTAATGCTAGTACATTCCCTCTGAGACTGCCTCCAAATTGTCTCATATATACCTTATTTGCATATAGCTGTTTGCATTAGATTTTGAGTTCCCTGAAGGCAGAAACTATTTGTGCCTTTCTTTTATCTGCATCAGTTAGTGTAGTGCCTGGCACGCCTTTAATAAATGATTGTTGACTTGACTTGCTAGCACACACTTTGTTTTCCAGTTTGGGGGTTTGTTGTTTTTGTTGCTATGAATGTTTTGGCGTATGTGGTACTTTTCCTCCTGTAATTAACGTCCTCGGGATCCACACCCAGTAGTGGGTTTGAGGATGTAAACAGTTTACTGACTCTTCTCATATAATTTCAAATTGTTTTCTGTATTCCAGTTTATAGCTCCACCAAGAGTGTGTTAGTGTGTTCATCTTCCCTCAGGCTGAAGAATGTGCTCAATCTAGCAAAAGAGGACTTGAGTTCAAACCCTGGGCTTTGCCACTAATTATGTGTGAGCAATAGCAAGTCAGGGGGAGTGGACTAGATGATTTCTAGGGTCCTTTCTGGCTTGGTCTCTATTATCCTATTAAACATAACAGTTCATAGGGAACAGCTGGGTGGTGCAGTGGATAGAGCACCAGCTCTGAAGTCAGAAGGACCCGAGTTCAAATTCGGCCTCGGGCCAAATACTTGAGACTAGCTGTGTGACCCTGGGCAAATCACTTAACCCCAATTGCCTTTAAAAAAAAAAAAGCAGTTCATTTCCTTGGAGTTTGTGAAGTAAACCATCATACAATCTCCAAATAAGAGTAAGTTTGTCTCTTCTGTTCCAATGACTTTCATTTCTTTGATATCACTGCCACTGTTAGAGTTTTCAGAACTGCTGGAAAAAACTAGAAACTTGGCAAAAATAGGTTTAAGTACCTTATACTATATGACACAGTAAATTCCAAAGGGACCAGTAAACCAAACATTAACTGTCACTTCATAAAAGAACTTACATATTCCATATTGAATGGAAGTAATTTTTATACCTCTACCTAGGGGACGATCTCACAAGTAAATAAGCAATGGAGAAGATTGCAAAAGGCAAGAAAGACAATTTTAATTATGTGAAATTGACAAGCTTTTGTATAAACGAAATCAATGCAGGTAGAACAAAATGCAAAACTAATCAGGAAGAAAATGTTTACATAGAAGATACCTGATAAAAGTCTGATAAGCAAGACATGTAGGGAATTAATGCAAATATATAAGACTAGGAGCCATTTTTCAGTTGAAAAGTGGTCAAAGGAAATGAATAGTTCTCAAAAGAAGAATTGCAAACTCCTAATAATCATATGAAAGATTGAGCCACGTCACTAATAGTAAGAAAAATGCAAATTAAGACAACTCTGAAGTTTCACCTAACACTCATGAAATTGGCAAAGAAGACAAAAGATGGAAATGATCAATACTGGGGGGGCTCTAGAAAGACAGGTATCCTGATATACCATTAGTGGAGCTGTGAATTGGTTTAACGATTCTGGAAACAATTTGCAATTATGAAAAAAATGACTAACATATATCTATACCAGTTGACATAGAGGTACCACTGTTTGGCACATATTGCAAGGAAATACATATATACGTACATACATACACGATATATATAATGACAGAGTGGCACCAGCCCATATGTCCCTTCCTACTAAGGAACCTCTCAGGTCTGGGCTTATATGGACTAGATTCAACCCTGGAGGAATTTGGCTCTAGAGAAGAGTCAGGTTCTTGTTATTTCTGGTTTTTTATGGCCTTACCCTGGAAACCTGGGCAAAATAGCTTAATGCTTAGTTTGGTGCAAGTCTAGGTCTCAAAAGGTGTCTGAGAGGTACTCAATATACAATGAAGATCAGGTAAAGGACAACTATTTATTTCCTGCACAAAAAGAAGTGCCTCTAACAGAGTGGACTCATAAGGACAAGTTGACGAAGACTTAAAAAACATGAACCCAACTCATAACTCATAGCTCCTATCATGCTTTCCTGGATAGCTAATATTTCAAACATCAAAACAGGCAACATTTAGTGGGACTGCTAAATAGCCATTCATTTTTACCTTGTTTCTGCACCATCTGAATAACTCTTTTAATGTCTATATCTCCTGAAAAGCAAGGATATATCTTGGGTTCGCTGTACTGGTAGTAGTCATCTTTTCTTGTGAAAAGGGTATATTTGTAAAAAAATAAACTGCTTTATTGGGCTTTGGCCAAATCTTGTTTCAACCCCAATAAGAATCCTGATTACCCTTATGTAAGTAAGTACCAGAATGTGGTGGGCATAGTAAGACTTTAACTAGGTGGGATTAGGAAAACAAAGCTGTAAAATAGAGTTTGGGGAAAACAGTCAAATAAACAAGTCTTTCAAATAGTGCTAGAACAAGTTTTGACAATTGTTGGAGCAATCCTAGAATGATGCAGCAATGAGCATTAGGGCTAAAAGCCACGACCGGAAGTGAGGTCACTGTTTCTGTAATTTGGTAAGGTCTTTAGCTCCTACTGGCTGTTAGGATTGAGACCTGAGACATGCCTCAGTGTGGGGGACAGAGGGAGGCATGAGGAGTACATAAGCTAACTACAACTGTTAATGAGTCTGATTGCCATCATATGTTCCACCTTACGTTTGGAGATTGTATCTTTACAAGCAAAATAAAGATGTTTTTACATACCCCTTGCCTGTGTTAGGTCAGTCATTTGTATTCTCTAGATGCCTGAAGTTAGGTTAGCTTCCAGTAGCTGCCCACTACATTATAATGCTATAAAGAGATATAAATTTTAATCATTGCTAGAATGAATTCGGAAAAAGCCTTCAATGAGATGTAACATTCGTTTATGCTAAATGGTAGCTCTTACTATGCATTAGATTATAAACTCCTTGAGGGCAGAGACTGTCTTTTGCCTCTTTTTGTATTTCTAGGACTTAGCACAGTGCCTGGCATATAAGTAGGTGCTTAATAAATGTTTACTGATTAATTGCTAAAATATATATCTAAAAGCAATAGTGATATTTTTGCAGTGGGAAACACCAGAAGCTTTTGCAGTAAGTTCGGGTTTAAAGTGAGCATGTTCTCTCTTCCCGCTATCATTTGACTTAGTATCAGTAATGCTAGCTATAGAAATAAGACAATAAAAAGAAATTAAAGGAGTACAGCAAAAATGAAGAAAAATTATTTCTATTTGCAGTCAATATGAGAAAGGTATTATGGTATAGTGGAATGAATGGTGTCTGCAGTCTAAGGACCTCAGTTTGAATTCCAGCTCTGCCACTTTCTATCCAAAGAAACCATGGGGAACCAAACTATCCTTTCTCTAAAATGAGGGAGTTAGATTGTTTAGAAGACTTCTGAGATCACTTCTAACTCTAAATACACGATCCAGTGCATATGATAGAGACCAAGTACATGAGATACTTTCAGATTAAATTTAATGACCAATATTGGTTCCAAAGGACTGATGTTGAAACATACTTCCTTCCTTTACAAAAACAAGCGATGAAGATCACAGATATTAAGTTGATATTATTCTATCAAATAGTTTTGCTTTGCTGTTTTCTTTCTTTTCCAATGAGAAAGGATGCTATGACACAAGTTTCTAGGAAGTTATTGTGGTGTAAAAAAAAACAGAAAGAGCACCAATAAAACAAAAACAAATAAATAAAAGTTTGTGTTATAAGAAAAGCAAAACAAAAAAAGTACCTATATCTCTTTCCCATTCTCTGCTATCTGTCATCACTTCAGGTAGGCCTAGCCCCCTTTTGATCATCCTCTTGCCCCTACCCAGAGGTACAACTAATATAGAGTGACTGGGACTTTGCTGACATCTATTGGAGTTAGGGCACATTTGTTTCAGTGTTCAGATACTTCTTGCTGCCCAGTGTGACCTGCCCCCAGCCCAGCCCATGGCCACTGCTTACAGACAGTTCTACTGTTTTCATACCTCTTTCTTGAGGCTTGTCTTTCCCTAGTGCTATGCAGCTGCAAATGTATTCAAATTAGGTGGATTGCTCCCATTTTACCACTAGACCTGGCAGGCATCTGAGATCAGTAGCAGTGACAGTATGTACAAGCCTCCCCAGCAATAGTCCTGGGTTTCTGCTTCCTGTCTCATCTCAGCTGAATTTCTCCCAAGTACCTAAATTTTTAGTCATAGCTCTGCCTTAGGCATAGTAAAAACCTTTTGGTTTTTCTTGCCCTTCTGAGCTCATTCTGAGTTTTACCATTCCTTACTCTATTCTTACTCCTTGCATTTGGCTTCAATCCTTATTACTTTAATGAAACAATAAATTCAATGGTCTTTTCTCAGTCATTATGCTCTTTGATTTTTCTAAAGCATTTGCCGTTTTGACCATTACTGATGCTCTCTCTATAACTTAGATACTAAGACATTGAACATTCATGTCTGTTCATCTCCCATAGGTTTCTATGTATTTGTTTACATGTTGTCTCCCCCTTTAGATTGTAAGCTGCTTGAGGACAGGGACTGCCTTTTGCTTCTTTTTGTATGCCCACTGTTTAGCACAATGCCTGGCACATAGTCACTTAATAAATGTTATTGATTGATTGTCAGAGTCAAACTAGATTCCATAAAAAAACACTCTGCAAAGTTTAAAGTACTACATATAATGTCAGCAATTACCTGTCTAATATGATGCTCTTTTTATATTTCCTTTGATAGTACATGTCCTCTAAATGCTGGCATTCTTCAAGGCTATCCTCAACTTTTCTCTATCCATAGGTTCTCAAAGTGGGCAATACCTCCCCCTGTAGGGTGCTGGAATTATGGGGATGCAGTAGTAGCCTCAGGTGCAATTGGGGGAGTGTTGAATAAAAATAAGGGAGTAGTGAAAGTATAAGGAAAGAAAAGAAGAGAAGAAAATTTTGAAAAACCATTTGCGCATGTTTCATTTGTTGTATAACAGAATTAAAGTCATAATGATTACATCATTTTCCAAATAAACACACAAAATGCAAGTTATAACCTATCAGTGGTCAAGTCTGCCAATAGGTCTTAAGAAGTCAGTGGTGGCAGGCAAGCATGTCACACTTTGTTGGAAAGTCCAGCCTGCATCGGCAGGAATATGTGCATGTAATGACTTGTTTACAATATGATATTATATGGTTACACGATGGAATATAGCATCATCAAAATTTCAATGCAGGAAAAAACCCACAAATTTACAATAAATTATTAAATCTAAGATGTGTCATTTAAAAAAATTTTTTTTTAAATTATGCAAATTTCAAAAAAAAATTAAAGGGTTAAAGAAAGTAGATTTCTGGGGGCACCTCCCCCTCCCCAGTAACTTTCTTTTGGAAAGGGGACAGTAGGCCAAATAAATTTGGGAACTTCTGCTTTGTACTTTCTTGCTTTTCAAACTTGATTCTTTATTCAATTCTCACTTCTATGTAGGTGTAGAGAGAGAACACTTCAGAGCTCCACAGGAGTAAACAAATAAAAGGCAGATAACTATAATAAAGGAATGCTTATGACCCAGATGTTTTCCCAGACCTTTTCATTTTGTTCTACCTTCATTTGCATACTAATTCACTAGGATTCTGTCAGAAGAAGCTTTCCAGTCATTGGAATTCTCATAAATTGAGCGAAGAACAGTAGATGGCCATGAAGACCTGAAGCTAGTAGGATGGGAAACTCCCAGTAAAGAAAAGGTACTGGAGAGTAGATACAAAGCGCCCAATAAAAAGCATTATGCTGATGTCACCAGAGGACAGTGACAGTTCTATAGTGTAGAGGTATGAATTATGGTGACCACACATTCACTGTTTCTACACATACCCCATGTGCGTCTTTCCTATGTGGTTTCCTGATGTGTATGTTGCTTCTTGCATATTCCCAGGTCATATACATTCCCGAAACTTGTGGTTTTTGTACAAGAATGCTGTTAATGAGTATTCTTTTTATGCTGTTACCCAGTGGTGATGTCATAACTTAGGAAAGCATGTTCTCCATGTATGCATGGGGGGTTCTTTTTTTTAATTTGCTGTTATTTAATTGTCTTTATTGAAACTGATGTGTTCTCTGGCTGAATGTTAAAGTCAGTAACTAGATGAGGGTTCATGAGTTATGGTTTTGAGTGCGTGTTGACCCAGAAAGTTCCTTGAACCTGGGGTAGCTTTTCTGGTGATACATGTGTGAGATGATACTGTAGGAACTACCCATATGCTTTCTGAATTTATATCTTTAGCCCTAACCTGGCTTTTGAATGTTTCTCTTTAGAGGTTATTCATTTTTGTTGGTGGAATTACTGGTGTGCCTGTCATCTGGTCTGGAAACCGAGGCATTATCTTTATGAGAATATTATTACCTCTCCCTTGGTTACTAAATTGTACATCAGGACTTTGAAAGAAGGAAAAGTAGAGATGTACTGGGAGACAATTCCAAGCATGAGGTATGGTGTGAACCTTTCCATGAATGACTTCTTGCCTTTTTTTGATCTTAATAACTTTGGATCATACTCTGAGAACTGGAAGAGACTTTAGGAGTCACGCAGTTTAGCTCACTTATTTTTTTAAAAAATTATTGGCATTTTTTTGTTTTTACATTATCTCTATTTCCCAATGAATTTTCTTCCATTGCACACTAGAGAGCCATCTCTTATTTTAAAAAGTATGAAAAATAAAGGAAGGAAGGAAGAAACTATAAATAACTAAACAATGTATTAAGAAAGTCTGATTTTATACGTACTTTTCCATGCCCACAGACCCACTACTTCTGTAAAAGAGCTGGATAGGTGTCTTCTCACATCTCTTTTTGGGGGCCAAATTTAGTCATTATAATTTTGTTGTACTCAGTATCAATTTTTTGTTGTTACTCCATTTACATTTTAACTGCCTCATTGTATTCATGAGGAAACTGAGACCCATGGAGGTGAGATGAATTTGCCCAAGATCTCACTGATAAATAGATGGCAAAGCTGGAATTTGAAATCTAGTCCTCTGACTCCCACTTTAGCATCTTTTCCATTATAGTTTGTGTCCTAGATATAGAAGGTAGATGAAAAGTTTCAGCCTGATAGCAATAGATTGTAGGGAGTCTGGAGATTGGGTGAATTTAGGAATCTGTAGACTAAGAAGGGTTTGGTGGCAAAGAGGATGTTATGGTTAGGAAAGGGAAGATCAATGAAGAAAGATATATAGGATTATGAAATTTTCCTAGGAAATAGAAATGCAAGAGTGTTTTAGTCTCATGAGCTAACAAATTTAACTTCACTTGAACAATAAAGGTTTATCCTTAGCAAAATTTGTGAATATATGTGACTATGTGAATATATGAAGTTTTTCTTCTAGTTTTACCTTACCTTCCTTCTTTTATACTTTCCCCAAACTTGAAGCTCTACTTTTTCAGGTACCTGGTGTTTTTCCTCAGTGTCTCTTAGTTTGTCCCCCCCCCCCGCAATAAATACCACTCTTTCAGAGAGGTGATTAAAATAGATGAGAATGTCGTTAACTGGCATGGACATTTGCATTTTAAAGAAATTAAAAGTTCAGCTAACACAAGTAATCTCTAACATTGAACTTTAAGCTTTGGTCTGGTAGCAAATTTTTATAGGAAGTTACCTACTCAAACTGACTTGGGATCGGTGAGAAAGAGCAAGATGTCAGAATAGAACAAGAAAAAAAAAAGAAGAGAAAGATCAAAGAGCAGGAGAGAGAGAAAAAAGAACAGTGGATTTAGATTTATTAGACCTATTCTCAAATCCTACCTCTAATACTTCTGTAACTGGGTAAATCATTTAAACTTTCTGGTCCTCAGTTTTCTCCTCTGTAAAATGAGAGGCTCTCTTCTCTTCTTTGTTGTTTGGTTGTTTCTAAGTCTTCATGGCCCCATATTCTTGGCAAAGATACTAGCATGGTTTGCCATTTCTTTCTCCAGCTCGTTTTATAGATGAGGAAACTGAGGCAAACAGAGTTAAGTGACTTGACCAGGGTCACATAGCTAGTAAGTGTCTGAGGATGGATTTGAATTCAGGTATTCCTGACTTTAGGCCTACAATCCTGTAATACCAAAGAAAATGAGAAAGGAAAGAGAAGAGAAATAGAAAGAGAGACAAAACTGAGAGTTCATATACTTGATCCTTGTACTAAGGAGGTGTGGAGAAGGAGAGGAAAGGTATTAATAAAGGACATTTGGGGGGAACATTATCTGGAAAAAGAATTTGAAATTTGGGATTTCTCAGTCTCCCTCATGATTATAGAGCACTGTAATGGAATGATAGCACTTAGATGATCTGATGCCACAGTGAGTCTTTGCTAACCACTGAAAAGGGGAGAGAAAGAATTTTTTATTCCTCTGGTGTTTGACTATGCTAAGAAAACTGTGGTCAGGACTTTTTTTTAAAGATTAAAAAAAATTAATAACTGACACTGAAGAACAAGTCTTTAATTATCCACTTTTGAAGGTCTTTTCCAATCTGGTCTCTAGGGTAACAATACTATATTTGGCATTATTATCACCATAATCCTCTTGGTGTGAGATTGAGAAGCATTAGGAATCTAATAAAAAGTATATTTTCCCAAGAGGTTTTAGTAAATAAGTGGAAAGAGTCAGGGTTTAAATCTCTTCATGTGGCTATAATTCTTTTTAACAGTGAGATTAACGAATAATGCTGCTGAACAATGCTTGGAATCAAGAAAAGAGAGACATTTCTGAGGTCTTCAGAGCAGAGTGGCAAATGCCTCACAAACTGTACATTTGGATAACTTGGAATAACAAAACAACAACAACAAAATCATGCAGGGGTCATGCAGTTTAGATCCCTTATTTTAGAAAAGAAATTATTGGTATTTTTTGTTTTTACATTATCTCTTTCCCAATTAATTTCCCAATGAAAAACCCCAAATGGGGTTAGGAAGAGTCAGGCATAATTAATCAACAAAACTAAAACAAAGTCCTACTTGATAGCTGAAATAAAGGACTCCTGTGGTAACGGTAGCTAATAGAAGATAGTATCCAGTTAGAAAGGCCCTTCAGTAGCTCTTAGCACTGACTATGAAAACTGGCCATCACTGAACCCCTCTCTGTGTCTCAGGAAATTTCTTTTTAAGATATTTTAAGTTTTAGAATAGATGCAGACCTGTACTGGTAAGAGAGTCTACTCACCCAGAGTTCTTCATCCCAATGAACTTACAACTTTTGTCCTCTCCTTCCCCCTTCCGAAATAATCAATGAATCAATCAATCAAACAGTTTAGCCAACTTTTTGGTTTTCTCTCACTTGTAACTTCAATATCACACAATTCATTTTAATAAACATTTAAGTTCAAAGCATTGTCCTAGAGATACGACAAAAGAAGAAATAATTCTTTCCCTTGTCTATTGTTGTTCAGTCATATTTGACTCTTTGTGATCCTATATGGGGTTTTCTTGGCAAAGATGCTGGAGTAGTTTTGACATTTCCTTCTTCAGCTCATTTTACAGATGAAGAAATGGAACAAACAGGATTAAGTGACTTGCCCAAGATCACACAGCTATCGAGTGTCTGAGGCCAGATCTGAACTCAGGAAGATGAGCTCTATCCACTGGAACTCTATCCATGACACCATCTAGCTTTCCCAAGGATGAAGTAAGGAAGAAATATATTTTAGAGATGGGGGATGATGCAAAATTAGTAAGACAGGAGATGGAATGTCGTGCACAGCAAATAGTAAGTCATCCATTTTGGCTAGAAT